GGAAATCTTTGTCACCAGGTCCATCTCCTGCTCGCCTGTCTAGAAAGAGGATCACTGACAAGGAGAATAGAGAACAGCTGATTATAGTTAGTTTGTTCTTTACATAATAGCTGATTGTCTAAATAACAGAAGAAATAAATTACAAATGTCTTAGCACTTAGAGTGGACATGTTTTAAACTTGGGGATCATTTTGGATCCCAACTGAAAAGACCATGATTGTTTCTAATATTCAAGTTAGTGTAAGTAAATTGGGGCTACGGAAGTGAGTTAAGATCCCCCATAAGTTGCAGAAATGAATATCTCTCTTCTAGTGAATCCTTTGCTAGTTTTAGACTTGGGCAAATGTATTGATTGGGAGATAAATGTGTTTATAACTTAGATGAGTTGTTTAGTACTTCAGTAAAAGTCACAAGTTTATACCATCACTTAATTGGTAGTTATATTATTTTGAAATTGTAGTACTATTTATAATAATCAGTCTCCTGTTTGGAATTATATGAGAACCAGTGTTTGTAATTTGCCATTTGAGCTTTGTACCTTGGGTTAAGTACTAAGTCAACAAGCATACATCTTTAAAAATATTTCCCAGTAATGCTTAATTCTCTGGCAAAAATATATATGTGCTTACTGACAAAAGCTGATGGCCAGTAATAAAATAACCCTTTTTGTAACTCTTTAGGATGCAGGTCAGAAACAGATAGGGGCAATCCAGTGCAAAACATGTGGAATGTTCTACACCCCTTCTGATCCCACGGACAAGACGGCCCACTCCAAGTTTCACGATAAACTGGAAACTGCTCTCAGTTTTCCTGTAAGTATTGTGGAATAAGCATTTGCAAAAGAAATTTTTAATGTTTAAAGTAACAGTTACTTTAATTAAGTACTCTGTTAATGTAATACTTTGATGTATTTATATGCATTTAGAAATTAGTCTGAGTTTACTAAGAAGTAGCAACAACTGTTAGGCTGATAAAGTCAATTATAGCAATACTTGTTAAAAAATAACTGGTGTAATGAGATTAATATTATTATATATATATTAAGTATGCCTTAAAGAGGTGAACTAATATTTTTTAGGGCTGGAAAAAGGAACGGATTGTGCAGGGATTTTATGATGGCAGTAGAATTATTGCTGTTGTTGAAGATGACCCCAAGTATGCTTTGAGGAAGGTAAGAGGTCATCCTAAACAAAAAAGACGTACCTACCTTCACAAATTTTGAAGTGTTTTATACTTAAAAATATAAAAAGCTTGATTTTAGTTGGAAAAGTATATTATAATGATGTTTTAATTTTTGGATATGCTGACACTAAAAAAAGAAATCTTTTTACATTTTATATTGAGGGCCGATTAAAAGTCTCATTAATGCCTATCTTTGCTGAAAAAGGTTGATTTCTTATACCTAATCACTGATCAAATCAAGCTACTCAAAGATGATATCATAAACCCATAATCTTCACACAAATTTTATATACTTTTCAGTTGGATGAAATCCAGCAGATTGTGGATGACGAATTGGGATTTCAAGAAAACCTGTACAATATACAGAAAAGAAAAGTAAGCATTTAGCTGTAAATGTCTTAGTCATATTGAGAATTTGTTTCATAAGGCTCCTGGTTTGTTTTTTCTTTATTCTGCAAAGCTCTCTTATTTAGCTAAAATAAAGTGAATATTTTTCTTTCAGTTCTGTCAGTTGTGTACCAAAGTTTTGACAAGAAAACTTCAGGAACTGATAATCTGCCACTTTTAAAGCATTTGTTTACACATTGTCTCTTCATCTCATTTCAGACCTATTTGTACATTTCCTGTGACAAACAGATTGTTGGGTTATGTGTGACAGAGGAGATTTCTCATGTAAGTGACTGCTTCTTCCTAGCATGCCTTTCATTGCAGTTTTTATAAATTTCAGTGACTTGCTTTTCTTTAATATTCTGAATTTACTGTAGTAAGCTGAGATCCTCCATAAGTGAAAGATGCACTATCACTTTACAATCATCTGCTAATTTCCTGAATCAAGAAAGGATTTATAAGTGAAATGTATTTCCATTTTCTACAAGGATCACATTACTGTTATTTCATTATTTTCTCTCCCAGGGTTACCGTGTTCTCCCAGACAGCCAGACCAGCTCAGAACACTCAGACAGACAGCGTGCCTGGTGCTGCAGCACAGAGAAACAGCCAGCTTGTTGTGGTATCAACAGGATCTGGGTGAGCAGGAAACACAGAGGGCAAGGCATTGCCACCAAGCTCATTGACTGCATCAGGTACCTTTTTTCTTTACAATTTATTATCTACATATCTGATTTTGTTAGAGAAAACTGGTATGGATTAGTGAACTTGTCATCTAGAGATTTTTTTTTCCCCACAAATAAGATGAGCAAACAACAATTACATGAATTGCACAGTAATGGCTTCCTTATATATTTTTATAATTATTATTACTATTCATTTATTTATGATTCAAAATATAAAAATTTAAATCACTTAAAGACAAATTTCTTCCTTAAAAAATTCATTTTAACGAGAATATTGCAGAAAAAATTACAATGGGTTCACAAACAATCACAAATCTCCTTTTAATCCATTTATTTTAGGCGCAATTTTACCCTTGGCTATACCCTGAATACAGATGACATTGCTTTCTCTGACCCCACCCCAGATGGGAAGTTATTTGCTACAAAATATACAGGCACTAAACAGTTCTTGGTTTACAAGTATAACATGTAGAGGTGGATTGTTTTAACAGTTAAAAAATTAAGTACAAATTTTCACTGCAGACTTTACCCAAGTGCGTAAAAGGATGGGTTTTCTGATCTAAATTGATTACTGCATGCTAGAAAATTTTCCTAGTACTGATGTCAGAGTAAATACTATTGTGAAAATATTAGGTAAGCATGATGGTTTTCAGCTTCAAAAGGAAATGAGTCTTGGCACATTGTAACTTAATGTTTTTGTTATATTTACTTTCTAATAGAACCTGTACCATTTTATCTTTGAAATAAGCCATTTAACAACTTGTCTATATGCACTGTACTGTAGTTTACATTTTCAGTGGTAACTTTTTTTTTATTAAAATTGCGAGGTATGTTTGAAAATTTAAATACNTAATAGCAATACTTGTTAAAAAATAACTGGTGTAATGAGATTAATATTATTACATATATATTAAGTATGCCTTCAAGAGGTGAACTAATATTTTCTAGGGCTGGAAAAAGGAACGGATTGTGCAGGGATTTTATGATGGCAGTAGAATTATTGCTGTTGTTGAAGATGACCCCAAGTATGCTTTGAGGAAGGTAAGAGGTCATCCTAAACAAAAAAGACGTACCTACCTTCACAAATTTTGAAGTGTTTTATACTTACAAATATAAAAAGCTTGATTTTAGCTGGAAAAGTATATTATAATGATGTTTTAATTTATGGATATGCTGACACTAAAAAAAGAAATCTTTTTACATTTTATATTGAGGGCCGATTAAAAGTCTCATTAATGCCTATCTTTGCTGAAAAAGGTTGATTTCTTATACCTAATCACTGATCAAATCAAGCTACTCAAAGATGATATCATAAACCCATAATCTTCACACAAATTTTATATACTTTTCAGTTGGATGAAATCCAGCAGATTGTGGATGACGAATTGGGATTTCAAGAAAACCTGTACAATATACAGAAAAGAAAAGTAAGCATTTAGCTGTAAATGTCTTAGCCATATTGAGAATTTGTTTCATAAGGCTCCCGGTTTGTTTTTTCTTTATTCTGCAAAGCTCTCTTATTTAGCTAAAATAAAGTGAATATTTTTCTTTCAGTTCTGTCAGTTGTGTACCAAAGTTTTGACAAAAAAACTTCAGGGACTGATAATCTGCCACTTTTAAAGCATTTGTTTACACATTGTCTCTTCATCTCATTTCAGACCTATTTGTACATTTCCTGTGACAAACAGATTGTCGGGTTATGTGTGACAGAGGAGATTTCTCATGTAAGTGACTGCTTCTTCTTAGCATGCCTTTCATTGCAGTTTTTATAAATTTCAGTGACTTGCTTTTCTTTAATATTCTGAATTTACTGTAGTAAGCTGAGATCCTCGATAAGTGAATGATGCACTATCACTTTACAATCATCTGCTAATTTCCTGAATCAAGAAAGGATTTATAAGTGAAATGTATTTCCATTTTCTACAAGGATCACATTACTGTTATTTCATTATTTTCTCTCCCAGGGTTACCGTGTTCTCCCAGACAGCCAGACCAGCTCAGAACACTCAGACAGACAGCGCGCCTGGTGCTGCAGCACAGAGAAACAGCCAGCTTGTTGTGGTATCAACAGGATCTGGGTGAGCAGAAAACACAGAGGGCAAGGCATTGCCACCAAGCTCATTGACTGCATCAGGTACCTTTTTTCTTTACAATTTATTATCTACATATCTGATTTCGTTAGAGAAAACTGGTATGGATTAGTGAACTTGTCATCTAGAGATTTTGTTTTACCCACAAATAAGATGAGCAAACAACAATTACATGAATTGCACAGTAATGGCTTCCTTACGTATATATTTTTATAATTATTATTACTATTCATTTATTTATGATTCAAAATATAAAAATTTGCTTCATTTAAAGACAAATTTCTTCCTTAAAAAATTCATTTTAACAAGAATATTGCAGAAAAAATTACAATGGGTTCATAAACAATCACAAATCTCCTTTTAATCCATTTATTTTAGGCGCAATTTTACCCTTGGCTATACCCTGAATACAGATGACATTGCTTTCTCTGACCCCACCCCAGATGGGAAGTTATTTGCTACAAAATATACTGGCACTAAACAGTTCTTGGTTTACAAGTATAACATGTAGAGATGGATTGTTTTAACAGTGAAAAAATTAAGTACAAATTTTCACTGCAGACTTTACCCAAGTGCGTAAAAGAATGGGTTTTCTGATCTAAATTGATTACTGCATGCTAGAAAATGTTCCTAGTACTGATGTCAGAGTACATAATTACTATTGTGAAAATATTAGGTAAGCATGATGGTTTTCAGCTTCAAAAGGAAATGAGTCTTGTAACTTAATGTTTTTGGGTTATATTTACTTTCTAATAGAATCTGTACCATTTTATCTTTGAAATAAGCCATTTAACAACTTGTCTATATGCACTGTACTGTAGTTTACATTTTCAGTGGTAACTTTTTTTTATTAAAATTGTGAGGTATGTTTGAAAATTTAAATACATTTGGTTGAATGTCATTGGGTATTGATATTCTTATCAAGAGATAGAAGTTACCTTTGTCATGGGTTAACTAATAGAGACATGCAACAGTGTGCAGTAAGTACATACTGTATACATTACATATATTTTCACATTATAGATTTCAAATGAATCAGCATAATCCAAACGCCAAAGACTTGTTAACAACTTTTGAAATAGTACTTTAATCAAGTACTGAAGTGATGTCTTACATATACTATATTCTCACATTTTAATTATTTATTTCTTCATTTTTAATTTAACATTGTAATGCCAGTATTGTGCTAGTTTAGATTGTATAAAAGCAAAATCTGTATGTTGTGCCTTTTATTAATAAAGTGCAGAAAATGCAAAAATTTGGTATGTAGTTATGTGTATTTGTTTTGCCAAGCTTTCTGAAAAGATGCACCACTTATTACTATTTTGTTTTTTTTAAACAAGTATATCACAGCAATTTTCATGAAATGAGAAGAAAAATGCTTCATCTTAAAACTGGAAGTTTGAAATTTGTCTAATTTTATGTCAACTAAATATATCACTTCCTAGGATTGACTTATTAAGCTCTTCACACAAATACAAATAGTTTTAAAATGGTTTATTTCAAAATTGTTTGAGTAACGCTGATACAAAGATTGGGAATGTGATGTTTTTCCAATACCTCTAAACCACATGCTTCCCATTCTTCATATTAACTTCTAGAAATAACTTGGAACATTTTAAGTAACAATGTACAATATTTTAAATGGCTGTTGGATAAATGTAAGATGTCGCTGCAGTTTGAACTATTCAGTGGAAAACTGACCACACCGTTTTGACATTTTCTCGTCCCCAACTCACTTACATAATGCTTCTTGTCATAAAAAATACAGGATTTTTTGTTATAAAAGAAATCTCATAGGTGTAAAACTGAACTTCAGCAGATCATTGGTCCATGCCCTGATTTTCTTGTAATAGCACCATAATACTGACTTTTCCACAGGCATCAGCCTCTTAGAACTAAGCTATGCCATACAATGGATTTGTGATTCCTCTTTCTCGTCTGCGGCCACCATGACCACCTCCTCCACCACCAAAACTATTTGAGCCCCCAAACATACCGCCACCATATCCCCTGCCACCCCTGCGACCACCTTCTTCTCGCTCTTTTCTCTCCTTCCAGGCTGAAAACCTCTCAGCCATCTCAATCAACTCATCTGGAACTTCCTGTATATAGAAATTATACAGAGTTAAAATATTTTAGGCTGGCTCTACTATTGAAATTTAAGATTACTAACACAGGTTGACATTAGCTCGTCTTAATCTGTTCTTTTGCAGTTAACTGTAGAAGACCACAGCAAAACCTAACTGAATACATTTTAAATTGATGATTACCAACTGCAAATATTTCATTTTCATGCTTAATTCATTCCACTGGCAATCAATCTTTTTTAACTTTTCCACTCCAAGTTATCATCAACTTCAAAACCTGTCTCTTAATTTAAAAAAAGATGAAAATTAATTCAGTAATGTCTGGTTAAACAGGCATGAATTAAATGCAGTCTATACCTGCTGAGCTTCCACCAGAATGTCTATGAGAGCCTGAGCCTGCCGCCAGTCTCCCCTGGTCACCAGAGTGATGGATGTGCCTGTACGTCTGCAACATAGGTAGAAACAAACTTGAATTAAGAAGGTACTTTATAATCACTGATATCAATTGTACGATGCTGAAAATTTATTTATGGCAACCCTTGGCAATATTTGAGTTTCCTTCATGTTGTATTATGTAGATGTTGAAGGTATCTATTTAAAGTAAACACTTTTTTACTCATGTGTTTTAAGTACTTAAGTGTTTTCTTTAAAAAGAAACTCACCCTGCTCTACCTGTACGACCAACTCTGTGCACATAATCCTCCACATTTCTTGGGAAATCATAGTTGAAAACATGTCTAAGATAGGAAATATAAATAACAGGCGAATAAGAAAAATACTTAACTGATAGCTTAGAATAAGCAACAAATCTCTTCTGCGCTTGTCATCTTAACTTTTACGGTTTTTAACACAACAATACTTTTAAAGGGCAATTTATTCCCAATGCTGTATATTTTTACATATTTACTGGCTATATAAATCTTAATCTGACCTAATCTATAATAATAATGTCATACATATAAATAATATAGGTTTTATGAACATTTTACTTACGTGACATCTATTATGTCCAGTCCTCTGGAGGCCACATCAGTGGCAATGAGAATCTGCACCTGTCCAGTCTTCAGATCTTCCAGGGCCTGCTCTCTGTCTTCTTGTTCTCTACAGGTGAAAACACAATTGTAATTATGAAAATAATTTAAAAATGGATCTTTAAAAAAGCATTAAAAAAAACATAATTCAATATTTTTTATATTTGTTGCAACAAACAAATGTAGGGGTTTGAATTTATAGAGAAATTAGCTATTTATAGAAAAGAAAGGATTTTGTATTGAAATGACAGGGCTTTTTTTCCCAAATAATGTAACTACTTGGGAGGTACAA